AAAGTGTTTAATGTGCAGTTCAAGGAGACTCTACCATCATCATCACCATCATCATCTTCATCGTCTTCACCACCATCATCACCAGCATCATCAAACCCAGTGTCTAACACTCACTGGATTCTTTCCAGGTGCCAGGCGCTGTGCTAATTGCTTTGCATGCACTATTGTCAATCAGTTAATAATTGTTAGTCCCACAGTGCCAGGAGGTTAGTTACCAGAAATACAAAGAATTTCTATTATGAAACGTGTATTACGGTTGCTAGGCAAATGGGAAATGTGGAAAAAAATGCTAAAATGCTAGGAGAGGGTCTCGATACGTGGATCTTCATACTTGGGGATGCTCTGGTTGGCTTGCTTGACGTTCTGGGGAAACGTTGTCTCAATAAATTCCGGTTAGGATATTTTCTTAGTGCAGGTGAATGGGAAAGGCTGCCGCCTGCAGAAATCTTTGTGGAGAAACCCAAGGACAAATCTCGCCTTTTAAGTCTCTGGTTGAGAGAGCTGTTGGTTCTGAGGGGAGACTTTGGTAGTCAGTGGCCTCACTGTGCCGGGATAATTTGGATGCAGTATCAAATAAAGCAATCAAAAAGAAAATTCCTCTGAAACTCTCACTGGTATTTAATATTTTATTCATTCCCATGTTATTGTGCTTTGCCTGCGGTGAAACAGCCTCAAAACAGCCTCCTAGGAGTGAGGCATTAGGAGGCTGACAAGCGTTTTCCCATGAATCGCTACTACAATACAATGGCATTTTGTTTGCTGTTTTGTTTCCTTGTCTTCTAACATTCTTTCTGACTTTCAAGGAAAAAAAGCAGAAGAAAAAGAAACCCTCCTATGAATGGCGAAGAAAAGGAAAGAAAAGTTTCTTTTAAACTTTCAACCTTTTTCATTTGGTACTGGGTTGCATGTAAACATTTTTTTTTTCTCATGGTATATATGCCGGTAGCACCCCCCCCCCTTTTTTGGGTGCTTTAAATGCCTTTTTTCTTTCTTTCTTTTACCACACAGCATTGCCTTTCCATTATTGATTCAGAAAATCGGCAGGGGAAAAAAAATCAACCGTGTACACATATTAAGAAAGGGAAGTCAGAGGAAGATGGATCAAACCATCCATCTATCCATGCGGTCATTTATCTATCAATCCATCTCCGCTACCCACCCGCCTCTATTAAAATAAATAGCAGGCACTGTACACATTGCTGGTTGGCTGAAGTTGTGATCTGGACAAAAGGTCTGTTTGGGAAAAGGATGCTGAAGCTCTAATTCTATTTGTGCCGGTTGAAAATCAGGAGGGGTTTTTCTACACTTCACTTTTATTAGATTATTTCTTATAGATGGTTTCTTTTTTCCTCCCAGACGCGTGGTGGAGGCTGCTGAAGCAGTTGGTCTATAGTTGGAATAATTAAATTAACCATTTGGTACAACTTTTAGGGGAGAGCTCGCGTGTAGAAAGCACAACTCTAACAAAACAGGGCGCTGGGGCTGGGGCTCCGGTCTGGCCCAGCCCCGCAAGCCTTTCATCTTCGAATCAGAAGCAGGACCCCGGGCCACAAAAGATCCACAGAGGGGACGACGGGCCAGGGACGGTGGGGGTGGGGTGGGGTGGGAAGAGGGACGGTGACACTGAACAAAATAAACCTACAAGGCCTACAAAGGGGAAAATGAAGTCAAGCGCATTTGCTCATCCGACCGTGCGGTACGGGCGCTGAAAGGTCCCCCGGTACAAAGAGAAGGAGGCGCACAGCACCCCGACCCAGCGAGGCCAGGCGGCAGGGGGCGCCTGGAGAGAGGCCAGGCCGACCGGGGCCACGGGGAGAGGGCTGGGGCGGCTGGGCGGGGGAGAAGGGGAGGGAGGCGGGTGGGAGCCGCCGCGGGCAGGGCGGGGAGAAACCCAGCCCCCGGGGCCGCGGGGAGCGCGAGGCAGTGCCCAGCTCCGGCCTCGGCCCGGCCAGCCCCTCACATCCCACCGCGCCCCGTCACCCCCCAGCTGCCTCGCACCTCCCTTGCTCAGGAGCCTTGGGCAGTCCTCGCCCCGCTCCCCTGGCTTCTCCCGGTGTCACCCTCAGAAGCCTCCAGATCCAGCTCAGCAGAGCAGCACACAGCACCCCCTACGCCAAGCTCCTGCGCACAGGGACTGCCCTCCTGCACCGACTAAATCCCAAAGTTCTACATCGTCGCTCTAGAGCCACCGCCCTCAGGAGCTGTAGGCAGAAGCCTTGCTCCTCCGAGCTCCCCTCACAGTCCGGGTCCGCGGCCGCCTCCGCCCCAAGGGCTAGAGGGGCCTCTGGGGACCATCTGCAAATTGGGATGCAAGGTGTAATTGGCCTGCACTGGGTGGGGGTGGGGGGCGTAGGTTGGGGGGGGGGTGCGGCCAGAGAGGTGTAAGCCTGGTTATTGGCTAGCCAAGGGCCTGGAAGCCAAAACGGGTCCCTCCCAGACAGTGTCACTCTTCCGCAGAGGAACGCGGGGAGATTCCGCGTGAGCAGGAGGAGCCGGCTAGGCTAGCCGAGTGCACCCCGGGCCAGTGCTCCCCGCATCCACACCCTCTGAATGCGGGCCTGGGGCAGCGGGGTCGCGTCGGGAAGACCAAGAGGCACCGACCCCCCCCCCCACACACACAAAAGTTCGAGGAATTCTAGAAACCTGGACAATCGCAGTCCTAAGCTTGACGACCTATTCCCCACCTCCCTTAAAGGGTGGGAGGTGTAAATAAGAGTGGGGAAATTCCATGTGTAGCCACGGAAGGGGCACAGCCACCTCCCGGTCTAAATGCAGATTCATAGTCATGAGAACGGGATAAATAAAGACAAATCCCCACTGTAAGAACACTTGGATTCCCATCCGTCTTTGCTGGCCTTTGGGCTTAGGGGACTGAAGACAGATGTTTGCATCTCTTTTCTCCTCTTGTCTGGTGACCATAAAGAAAAACCATTTAGAGCATCGCAATTTGTTTCTCGCCGCAGTACAACCTTGTACACATTTATTTTCATTTCACCCCCGTGCACAAAAAAGTGCGCACTGGTCACCAAGGGCCCTTCTTTATCAAATACGCATTGTACCACATACAACTGCAATAAAACTATCAGCCCTCCCCATAAAACTATCACCAGGCTGCTCGGCGGGTCCCCGCTGCCTGTACTGCAGACATTAGGTCTTGCCATCGTTCAGGGGATGGCCGTCACCTGAAATCAACCTGAAACTCACCCAGCAGAGAAGCACAAGGCTTGGGGGGGGGGGCTGCTGTCCCTGTTTAATCCATTAGGGCGTCCGCTGCAGTTCAGAGCGCAATAAAATACGGTGGCAGTGGAGAGCGGGCGCCCATCCACTCCCCAGCACTAGCATCGAATTAAACCACTTAGTTTGGCAAACACTGAACGCCTAAATGCCCCTATAAAGACTTTATGAGTTTGTTACTTTAATTACTGACTTGTTACAGAGCACATAAAGGGGGTAATGAATGCAATAAAACTAATTATCTACACATTTAATTCATATAAAATATCTAGGGTTTGTTTACACCACCCGGCGATTCAACTAAGCATTCCTCCTCTTGTCCACCGAGAGGAAGGGTTTAATGAAATAGTTTTCCTTATTCTGCTAGAGCCTAACGAACCAAATGAAAATTACCCTCCGCTTAAATCATGGGGCCACCGAGGTCCACAAATCACTGTTCACTTCTTTGTCTGTACCTTCCAGCCAGCACCCAAGAGCCTGAGGAGTTGGAGAAGGAAAGAGCTCGACCTGGAGCCTGGGCATTTTGAGAGCAAAGATTTCGCTCGCTGCAGTCAACAAACCTAAAGGGCAAGCCGTCGGCCATCCTCTTTGCGAAGCCCTGGGTCTTTGGCGGACTGGGGGGCACCTGAAAAAGTATAGGTGATAAAAGAGGAGAGTGCCCGAGAGGGATGGAAGAGGAGACACATTTGGGGAGACTTCATGCCCGCTTGCCAGTCATGGCGTAATTAAAATCAACAACCGCACAGACCCTCCGAAGCAACAGAATGCAAACCTTGAGCAAATGCAGAAAGACACAGAGTGGACTGCAAAGAAGCCCTCGGCAGAGACAATCCAGATGTGTCACATTCAAGAGCTTTACTCAGATGTGCCTTTATTTTTTAAACAGCTGTGTAAGCGGAGTCTCTAGAAAAACATGTTAAGCTGCGACAAGAAATGCAATTTATAAGATGCTCTTTTTTTTTTAACCCCCTCTACCAGGTGTATTTTAAAGAAATCCTCTTATCCTTCACATAAACCCCCTTGGCCCACTTACTCTATGTTACGGGGTGCCTGAGTCTTGCCAATGTCCCAGTCCTTTATAACATTTCATGCACTTCGGGGGGTAGGCTTGTTGTTAAATTGAGCGTGTAACGCTCTTACAAAACAGGTTTTCTATGACATCAAGGTTTCTTCTCCCTAACCGAAGCGGGGGGAAAAAAAGAGGACGAAGAAGAGGGAAAACACACACACTATCTCAATTTATGCCCAAGGTATATGATCAGTTAAAAAGGCTTAAAAGCTCGGGGAAATTGGATCAGGGAGAATCGTCACCCAACTTTCATTATTTCCAAGTAGTGTGATTGAATTAAAGGGCAGGGAGCTGGTTAGAAGGGAGGATCAGGGGCTCGGTGCGTAATGGTGTGGTATTAAATTCTAATTAGAGATGCAGGAATCAATGATAGGGAGGTTGGACAGCTCAGTTCCCCAGTGCCAGCCCAATAGACGGATGAGTTATTGTCATGTAAAAAGCGCCAGCAATAAGACCAACCGCTTTGCTATTGTCCAAGTGGAAAGAGCCAAGTTTATTATGAGGACTATATGCTCTAGAGACCTCAGACAAGGCATCTCATAGGAGGCTTTTTCATAAAACTAGGCTCTGCTGGTAGTAAGGAGGCCAGTTTGGAGGCAGGCGTTGAGCTGTGCACATCTCCCCACTCCAGCCACCTTCTCCATACCCATCTTTTATTCCATTTTTCCACTTGGCTGAGCCATCCAGAGCCTTTTCAATGTATAAAATGGAATATTCTTACCTCAATTCCTCTGCCTACGAGTCCTGTATGGCTGGGATGGACACCTCGAGCCTGGCTTCAGCCTATGCTGACTTCAGTTCCTGCAGCCAGGCCAGTGGCTTCCAGTATAACCCGATAAGGACCACTTTTGGGGCCACGTCCGGCTGCCCGTCCCTCACGCCGGGATCCTGCAGCCTCGGCACCCTCAGGGACCACCAGAGCAGTCCGTACGCCGCAGGTAAGGACCGCCAGCTTTCTCAGCGGAGGAAGCCGCCTTTCCGCTCGTATATAGGAAGCCTTGATTGCATTTGAAAATGGAAATGTGTTTAGTATTTACCAAACGAAATTTGCTTACACAAATGAAAGAATTTATCACGTTAGAAGCGATTGCAGGGAGGGGTAATTCACTTACAGGGTTACACTATCCTAGTCACACCCGAACCGCCAACAAAATTATCTTAAGCTGCCAAAATGATAGGCATAATTTATTTACTTTGCGATGAGACGTAAAGCTTAGAAAATAATTAAATAACAAAGAGTAAAGCTCATTACTGGCAGTGTCTCTCTCTTTTTTTAAGAACCGACAGCGGCTCACACCTTTTGGGCTGGTCATTTTTATGATTATTTCTTTAATTTATTATTATTTTTTTTTTGCAGCACTTTCCCCCAACTTTTGGGCAGGGTCAACTTCTGAGAACTGAAAAGTTTCAACAGTGGGAGTGTTGGGTAACTTCTTCCCCGGTTCCCTGATGCTCCGACTGATGTTTTTGGACTTTTTTCCTCTTTCGCTTTTCCTCACCAAAGCATTATCCCGCGTCCCGGCCCTCGGCCGTCCCCAGTGAGCTCTTCCAACCCACCCAAAGGCGCTTGTGCCAAGAGGGACCCCGCCAAAGCCCGCAGTTCGCCGGTTTCGGTATTCAACTAATTCGCTCGGTTTTTCTCGGCAGTGACTGTCAGCCAGTCCCCCGCGCCGGCGTCGGTGGCCGCTCTAGTGCTACCTGACCTTGGAGTCCCCACATTCCGGCTCCGCGGCACTCTCGCGCTGCAGACAGTTTTGCTCACACTCCGTCCCCTCTGTCGTCCCCCCAGTTCCTTACAAGCTCTTCACCGACCACGGCGGCCTCAACGAGAAGCGCAAGCAGCGGCGCATCCGCACCACTTTCACTAGTGCGCAGCTCAAGGAGCTGGAGAGGGTCTTCGCAGAGACGCACTACCCTGACATCTACACCCGGGAGGAGCTGGCCCTGAAGATCGACCTCACCGAAGCGCGAGTCCAGGTACGCGCGCCCACAAACCGACCCTGCTTCGCCGCCCCGCGCCGGGTACGGTACGGTGGCGGGGACCGGGCGGTGCTCCCGAAGGTTCGGAATACCCGGGCTTTTCAAAGACAAGGGCCTGGGATCCAGGGCGGAACAGAGGCCAAGTTCGGAGGGACTGTGTGCGCGAGGAAGGGTTAGGGTGCGCGCTCTCGTTTATCTGTGCACAGCTGCAAAGCTTTTCCCACCCCGTGTAGTCCTGCAGAGACTTTCGGGGTCTTGGGACGTGAACGAGCAAGGCTTTTGCAGGACAGGAAGTGCCTTGTGGGAGGAGTGCAGACTTTGCCCCCGTATTAGACTTGGGGTTTTTTGTTTTTGTTTTTCTGCCTCCTCGCTCAAGTTCTTTTAACTTGAAACCATGGAGTAGAGGTGCATTTTCCCGGTAACTATGGCTTGGATCACATTGGCAAAGGGGCTGTGACTCCATGAAGGTCACGAACCGCGGCTAACTCTAACCTTTTAGGGAAACAGGTGCACTCACGAGCTGGCCAAAGCGCCTCTCCAGGTGAGCCCCATTATACGGTATATCAGGCCCAAAGGCCAGGACGGGCGGCGAGCATCAAACCGGGGACCCCCCTCCTCCTTCTACCAACTAGCGTTTAACCTTAGACCTGCGGCGTGGGGGGATTTGGCGACTGTGGGGTGGTTCCAGAAACAGACTGAGCAAAGGCCCGCCAGAATAAAGGCTTCCGTTTTAGGGCCTTTTAGCCTGTCCTGCAAACAATCATTTCCCCGGAATGCTCAGGTGACCCTAAGAAAGTTTCTCCGAAGACGCAAGGGCGACAAGGGAGGGGGCAGACTTGGTGGCAGGGTGTACCGCCGCGCTTGGACTTTAAAACAAGCCGAAATGGAACGTGGGCCGTCCTAATCCGCGCTTTGCTCCCCCCTTTCCTTCTTCCTTTCCCTGCTTCACCTCCTCTCCTCTCCTCTCCTCTCCTCTCCTCTCCTCTCCCGCCAGGTGTGGTTCCAGAACCGCCGCGCCAAGTTCCGCAAGCAGGAGCGCGCGGCAGCGGCCGCCGCGGCCGCGGCCAAGAACGGCTCTTCGGGGAAGAAGTCCGACTCGTCCCGGGACGACGAGAGCAAAGAGGCCAAGAGCACCGACCCGGACAGCACGGGGGGCCCCGGCCCCAACCCCAACCCCACTCCCAGCTGCGGGGCGAGCGGCGGCGGCGGCGGCGGGCCCAGCCCGGCAGGAGCCCCGGGGGCGGCGGGGCCCGGGGGCCCGGGAGGCGAACCCGGCAAGGGCGGCGCGGCGGCGGCGGCGGCCGCCGCCGCGCCGCCC